TTAATCTATAAATAGTTTACAATAGACAAAATATGATTTAGATCTCTATGGACCACAATACTTGGTTCTTTTATTACCTCTGCCATTCTTTCTGCTGTGGTGAAAGATCAAATACTGTCTGAAATGAAAGAAAACATAATCACTAGCATTGCCAAATTCTCTTGGCTTTTACATCACAATTTAAACATTTTTTCTTTGAGCAAGAAACAAACATAATGTTAAAAACAAGTATTCACGGTTTACATTCATCTTCTATAAGTCAAATATTAATGTGACAACTTTACTCAAAAATAGCATAAAGAAATTTTATGAATCGCAAATATTCTCCTGTTAAAGTTAACATTTATAGGAATACATGCAAGTTGACAATTTATCATATGTACAAAATTGTATCTTAGGACTTAAAATCATTTAAATGATGCTAGCATGAAATTCACAAGTATTGGAGAAGAAAATGACATACAGAGTTATATTCAAGCATCCAAAGCCCATATTCTTGCTGGTAAAATACCATAACAGAATCAACAATTTTTGAAATGAGTTAAAAAATAGCACTGTAATTCCTAAACGTGTTAATCAACAAAGAAGCACTTAAGAAATTTTATCTAGGCATGATCCTCATCAATTCAAAGTCAGACTTCACTGCTTCTAAGAGTCAAAGAAAAATATGCAAACTCCTTATAATAGTTACATCCACAATTTATGCAACAAAAAAAATCCACTTTTCAGCCAATAGCGTTGGCTCACGCCTATAATTCTGGCACTTTGGGATGCCAAGACAGGTGAATTGCCTGAGATAAGGCGTTTGAGACCAGCCTGGGCAACATGGTGAAACTCTGTCTCTACTAAACTGCAAAAAATTAGCCAGGTGTGGTGGTGGGCACCTGTAATCCCAGCTACCCAGGAGGCTGAGGCACGAGAATTGCTTGAACTTGGGAGGCAGAGGTTGCAGTGAGACATTATCTTGCCAATGCCCTCAGCCTAGGCAACAAAGTGAAACTCTGTCTTAAAAAAANAAAAAAAAAAAAAAAAAAAAAAAAAAAAAAAAAAAAAAAAAAAAAAAAAAAAAAAAAATCCACTTTTCTAGTCCTAGTTCACAGCTCTACTTCTGCGACTTTAATATTTTAATTACATCAATCTAGAACCTACCTCTCATGTAACTGTGAGCCTCATGTTCAAGTTTTATACCACCATATGCTCCAAGCTAAATTGTCCCAATCTTTCTGATGCTTCCTTTGATTACAGCTCCTGATGAATTTGTCTAAAGCATGCTACTAAACCTTTTTCCCATGACAGCACATAAAGAAAATGCTAAAATCTATAAAACACACCACGGCAAACCAATAAAGCTGTACAGTTACTCTCCAGCTAATGTATAAATAAAATGATTGACAGTGGGGACTATATGATTTTTCCTCTGAATTCCTCAACCTGCTCTGTACAGTGTTTACTCATCACAAGGGTATAAAGAAGCTACTTTGCTAGGCACTATGCTAACTCATGATCTCATTTAACCTTCCTAACAACCTCATGAATTTGTGATTACTCTTCCTCTTTTGCACATGAGGAAACAGGAGCTCAAAAAGTTACAACTTTTTTCCAGAATCACAGATAGTAAGACTCAGTATACAAACTTAGCTCTATCAGATTACTTTCCCACCTTTTAAAAATTCTTTTTTTTTTTTAAATAAATAGTAACTAAATGTAACAGAAAATAGCAAAATAGTAACTATCATAGCATATATACAGATCATGGTTTGGAAACTAGTACAGTTATTAGGGCTAGGTTTTTAATATTCAGAGTGCATATTAAAATAATGAGCAAAATTTTTTTAAAGTTAAAATTATATTTTAAATAATTTTATATTAAACATAATTCTTAACCACGTTTATATAAATTAGGAAGGAACAGCTTCCTAAAAGCACTGTTATTACTGATGAGAAGTATACAACTAAATATTTTGAAGTTCTTAATTTTCTCATTAAGACATGACTTTTAATTATAACAATTTAAATTAAATGTTCTTGCTCCATAAATGACTGGAAGAGATGGCAAAAACTGTTTACAATGAAAACAGTCAATCATATTGTCCCAACTGTATAATTCTAACATATCATTATTGCCTAAAACCTGCAAAGCATTTTGCAGTACATTTTGAGAACTACAAAGGTGAAAGAATAAAACTAATTATTCTCAGGAGCTTAAAATCCAGATAAGAGATGTAGGGGGGGGAAAAAAAAAAAGAAAAGATAAAAACAGGCATCTCATAAGTGTGGGGAAAAAAAGAGAATGAGCACAACAGAATATGGAGAGAATGCTAGAGAAACAGTGTAAATGAATTTTAGGAAATACATTCAAGATTATAATATATAAACACCAAATTCTCAGTGTCCAAACGAAACATAAAAATGGGAATGCAATCTTTATTACCATCTTAAATCTTTTAAAATTAACATTCATATTTTGGAAACTTTTATGAATTTATACAAGACCACATACAAACAAAACCAATTTGAGAAAGAGCCTAAAACAAGTTTATGTTTCATAGGATAGATAAACCCACGTGAAAGGGATTTTCCCCAGTTTGGAGCAATAGCGGAAATGGGTAATAAAAAATAATAGCAGAAAGATACAAACAGTCATGCTGGAATCCATAAAACATGCCTACAAATTTTTGCTGTAAAAGTAATCTCAAAAAGTCCCTCCTCAACAGAATGGAGAATCCAGAAACAAAGCTGCACACCTACACCCATTTGGTCTTTGACAAAATCAGCAAAAAAAAGCATTGGGGAAAGGATTATCTTTTCAATAAATGGTGCTGGAAGAGCTGGTTAGCCATATGCAGAAGAATGAAACTTGGCCCAAATCTGTCACCATATACAAAAATTAAGTCAAGATGGGAAAAGATTTAAATGGCCTTAAACTATGAGAATCCTAGAAGAAAATCTGGGAAACACCATTGTAGGCATCAGCCTTGGGAAAAAAATTATGACTATGTCCCCACAAGCAATTGTAACAAAAACAAAAACTGAAAAGTCAGAGCTAATTAAACTAAAGAGCTTCTGCATAGAAAAGAAAAACAAAAACTACCAACAGAGTGAACAGACAACCTACAGAATGGGAGAAAATATTCACAAGCTATGCATCTGATAAAGGTGTAATATCCAGAATCGATAAGGAACTTAACTGAAAAGCAGAGAACAACCCCATTAAAAAGTGGGCAAAGGGCATGAACACATACTTCTCAGAAGACATACAAGTGGCCAATAAACATGAAGAGATGCTCCATATCACTAATCATAAGAGAAATACAAATCAAAACCACAATGAGATGCCACCTCACGCCAGTCAGAACAGCTATTACTAACAAGTCTCGAAAAAAAAAAAAAAAAAAAAAAAAAAAAACTAGATGCCAGAGAGGCTGAGGAGAAAAGGGAACACTAATATGCTGCTGGTAAAAAGGTAAATTAGTTCAGCCACTGTGGAGGCAGTTTGGCGAGTTCTCAAAGAACTTAGATTATTATTCAACTCAGCAATCCTATTACTGGGTATATACTCAAAGGTATATATTGTGAATATACTATTCACAATAGCGAATACATGGAATCAACCTAGGTACCCATCAACGGTAAATGGGATAAAGAAAATGTGGTATACATTCACCAGGGAATACTATGTAGCCATAAAAAAAAAAACAAAACTGCTGTCCTTTGCAGCAATATGAATGCAGCTGGAGGCAATAATCCTAAGCAAATTAATGGCAGGACAGAAAACCATATACCATATGTTCTCATTTATAAGTGGGAGCTAAATGTTGGATACTCACAGACATAAAGATGGCAACAACAGAAAGTGGGGACTATTAGAGAGGGGAGAGAGGGAGAAGGGAAAGGGATGAAAAACTATTGGTTATTATGCCCCGTACCTGGGTGATGGGATCAATCAACCCAAAACCTCAGCATTATACAATATACCCAGCTAACAAACCTGCACATGTACCACATGAATCTAAAATAAAAGTTGAAAAAAACAGTACCTCTTCAAAATGGTAAACAAAAATAAAGAATGGCACAAAATAAAAGAAAGAAAACAAAGGATGAATAATTATTCTTAAAATAGTATAAAACCTAATGCAAATATTAAAGTATCTAATAATAATCACTTAGATCAAAATTACCAGATAATAGTAATATATCCAAAATGTTAATAATGGTCACCTCAAGATTTTGGTATATAACATAACTTTTCTGTTTTTCCCCCGAATTTATTACAAAGAATATGAATTACTTTTGAAATAAGATAATTATATGGAAAACTATTTCAGACAAAACTAAAAACAAATAGATATCAAAACTGTCTTCAAGAGTGCAATTCCTCAACCCATGTATTTCAAAGAACCATGTGAATCAAACTTACTGGTTCATAAACTAGACCATCTGCAGATGCAACCATTGTTTCTGCTAAATCCAATACATCTGCTCCAACATCTGCATACAAAAAAGATTTAGAAGTTTTACATTCTACGGTCGGAGGCAAACCATCCCCAATATAAAATAAATTAAGAAAACTAACAGAAAACTCACCAATTGGGAAGAAAAAACAACAACAAAAAAAATTCACCAAGTATGTGAAACTACTTCCTATACTGCTCATTTGTTAAAAAGCTAAAATAGCAGTTTTATATAGCTTTGTTGGAGACTATTCCAAAATGCAATGTTTTTTTCTACTTCTTGCTAAGTAAAAAAGAAAATTCAAGATCTCATTTAAAAAGGATAAGCTTTACTGAATTGAAGAGCTTTGCAAATATCAGCAAGAACCTAATCACAAGTACTAAGTGGCCGCTGAACAAAATATTAAATGCAAGAAAGATTTTTAGAGATTAAAAGAAATCTTAAAGCTACGAATCAACAAATAAAAAATTTTACTTGGAAAACTCTAAAATTAAACAGTATTCAAACATCCAAAATAAGGCAGAACGTCATATATTCAGAATTACCACTAACTCCAAGTTTAGATATAAAGTACTTTTTTAATCTCTTAAAACCACTAACATAAGGAAAAATATGTTGAAAAGAAAAAGAGATTCAAGGTTGTTCTGAGATGGAGTATCATTGAAACTAATCTCTAACTGCGCAAAATTATTTCACACTCTTAAAATGTTAAAAATTTTCTCTTGAGTTCTTGGTCTATAATTTTTAAGCAGTAACATAAAATATTTTTCATGTAAAAGCATCCTTATTTCTGAAAACAGTATTGATTCAAACATTCACTATCTGGCATATTAGCATTTTTCTGATTCTAGTATAACCAAGTGAGGCCACTGAAGGAAAAAAAAAGGGGGGGTAACCTATCATTATTAACTTAAAAGAACTAGATCTGTATTTTTAAACGCAAGAGTAAACATAAAGGGTGGTAAACTGAAACAGTACACAAGGGTATGCTTGTGAAACATGGGTATAAAGGCTAGTACTCCAAACACGAAAGACAGAAAGTTTGTATATAAACTAGAATGCTGATTCACAAATATTTCCTCCAACTTTCTTTTAATTACATAATGTAAAAGTTAAGTCTCTTCTCTTTATAGGAAATAAAGAATATAAGCTGAGGAGTATAACAATTTGCATTATTAAATAATACCACAGTAACATTTAAAAATATTATAAAGGAAAAGTAAAGTTAAAATACAACCAGTAGTTTTTATTTTTGATTGGCAATTGTTTGAACCGTAAGTTACATGGGGATTTAGCAAGCCGAAGGTGTACTTACATTGACACTTCATGGCAACAGTAATATCTATATTGATTCTCAATTTGCTGAAAGAAAAAATATTAAACATTAGTATCTACCAATTAATCAGCAAAACATGAGAAATATAAATAAACTGATCTATTAAAAACTTGGATTTTAAGCAGAATAAATTATGTTGATTAAAATTTGAATTGCATTTCTCATGGCCAAAACAAAGGCACAAAGTATTATTCCAAAAGCCTTTCTGACTTCACAGGTTTTCAACATAGTATCCTTTAATGGCAACTCTATAATCAATAACTCTAAGCAACTCAGAAAAGAATCTTAACTTCTAAACTTCTATTTACATAAACTTTTGATAGAATGTTCCTTTAAGAGTGTAAAATTCTCAAAATCAAGAATTAGAAATTGTCTTTCTTCTCTGTTTATCAAATACCATATATCAAACATTATGCTAGATGTTCTACAAATATTATCTTCTTTACTCTATATAACGGACCTGTTAAGTGGATGGCTTCACAGATTCTCAAGTAAACCACTGGTGTTCAGGGTAAATGCCTGGCTTAAGATCACTTCACCATTAAAGTGCCATACTGGATACTAGGTCTATGTAACTCAGATAAATGCAACCAAACTACCAGAAGTAAATCATCTGATGCTTAACATTTTTCATGGCCTTTCATTTTCAAATAATTAGATCAAATCAATTTTCAAATACCGGAACTAAGCATTGTGAATAGTAGTCTGGCTACAATCAAATTCTGTCCTGTGCTTTCTATCAAATCTTTTTTTCTGTGTAATAATTTTCATCTGATTTAAATAGGAATTACAGATTTTTAGAACTTCATAAAATTCTTTTTTTTTTTAAGACTGAGTTTCGCTCTTGTTGCCAAGGCTGGAATGAAATGGTATGATCTCAGCTCACGGCAACCTCTGCTTCCTGGATTCAAGCAATTCTCCTGCCTCAGCCTTTGGAGTAGCTGGGATTACAGGTGTGCACCACTACGCCTGGCAAATTTTGTATTTTTAGTGGAGATGGGGTTTCTCCATGTTAGTCAGGCTGGTCTTGAACTCCCAACCTCAAGAGATCTGCCTGCCTTGGCCACCCAAAGAGCTGGGATTACAGGTGTGAGCCATTGTGCCCAGCCAAGTCTAAAAGTCATCTAAAGTTCAAACCGTGCTCCAAATAACTCAAGGATTTAGGCTCGGGAGATACGAACCACGAGTAGGCCAAGTAGACAAGCTTCTACATATCCTCACCATGCTAATGTGGTAAACTATGTAATACATAAGACTTCATCTAGGAAAAAAATGAAGTATTGCACTGGTGCTGAAAACAATAACAAACTCTTTGAAAACCAATGCTATCTTGAATAATACATTACAGATAAAGAAACTGAAGTCCAAAAGAAGTCAGTGGTGTGACCTGCTCACGGTTACACAGCAATTTACAAGTGTTGACTAATCTAATTCTCATAAGCCTCATGAGGAAGATACTATAATTGCCATCTATAATTTATAGAAAAGGAAACTGAAGCATATCTAAACTGAGGCATAGATTTAGTAACTTCCTTAAAATCATGCAAATAGCAGAACCTGGATTGTAACTGAAAACTAAATGTGTCTTCCTATTTGGTGCAATCTTAATATTATAAACCTATTGTCTTTAGTCCATTGAAAAAATCCAAATAATACAAATGAATAGATGTAAAGTGCATAATTAAGGTACTATATTTTCAGAAGTTTAAAAGTAATCTTATTTACATAAATATTTAGCTTAGGTATAACTTACAGATATGAAGTCATAAAGGTATGCAATGTACCTTTAGACAATTTATTTTCCAGCTCACACAGATCACTTAGGTATTTCAACCAGTTTCAAATATTAAACAATTTCCACAATATACATATCTGAGGAAAAATATTCCCCTAACCTTTTGAAATGAAGCCATGCTAAAGCAAAGACCCTTGGTTTTGGAATTCAACCACTATTTAAATGATTCTAAAAGGTTTCACTTAATGCATGCAATTAATGAGAATTTTTCAGGACTATTTCTTCAGAGCTAAAACAAACCAAATCTAGAAGGTTAGACTTTTTAAAACACAGGCTCTTTTTGAAACAATTTGAATCTAAAGGCATTTCAAGAAGAAAAAAATGATTACCTAGAAAAATCCTTGTCTACTTCATATTCATACTTCATCCATGTATCTTGATATACTGAGAATTCCATTATGGTTAATAAAGCCATAGTGGTAAATGCTATTAGAGAAACTGAGAAATCCAACAACAAAAGAAAAACAGAATTAAAACAATAAAAAAAAACAAAGAACAGTAAACTATTTTAAGTGAGATTAAATTTTCAAAACAAAAGGCCTAATAATGTGATTTCCATTTGAATAAACATTACAGAAAGTTTTTATTCAAAATGTTTATTGGATTTTTTTCTCTAATACACCTCAAAAGATTTAATATATATAAATACAAACATAAACATTTGCACTACTAAGAAAGCATTTTATTTCTCCAATTTTAAGGGCATGTCTCACTAAATAGATTTGACAAAATTTGTATTTTCTTATATATAACAGTGTCACAGATAGGATAAAAGATGAAACTAAGCATGCCTTATAGTAAAAATTTGAAAACAGTTGCTTCATTATTAAAAATACATCCATGTCTATAGCCCAATTTAAAACAAACAAAAAGCTAGCCTAATTTCTTAGATCCTGAGAAACCACAATAATCTGTGTGCCAGAAACTCAAATAACATCTCTAAGTATGTGTGCCAGAAACTCAAATAACATCTCTAAATATGTGTGCCAGAAACCCAAATAACATCTCTAAGTATCTAACAAAACTCTCTTCCACTGTGCAATCTCCTAAATATATCACCTCATTTACAAAACTGAGTAAAAGATCTGACCAAAAGGAAAACTATTATGTACTACAGCAAAGTACTTGAAATAGATTTTGCAAGAAGAACTTGCACTATTTTCATTAACAAAACTTAATCATAAGTAATTAGAAATAGTGAGCAACTTAGCCATTATACAAAATAAAATGTCAATCTCATGTGAAATACATTATTTTATTAGTTCTTCATGGGGAAAGAAATTATACTGATTATTGTTATAGTAACATATTTTTCTTATATATTTCATTATTTATTTTACTTAACAAATACTTTACCTGTACCAGGCACTGGTCTAAGCATTTTATGAAAATATTAATAATATAGTAACCCCTAGGAGGCAAATACTAGTATCATCCCTATTTTATGGAAGAAACTAAGACAGATATTTGAGTAACTTCCTCAAGATCATATATTTAGGAAGAGGCAGAAAGCAGTAACATTGGTTTAATTTATTAATTTTTTTTTGTTTTTCATTTGTTTTTGTTTTTTTAGATGGCTTCTCACTCTGTCACCCAGTTTGGAGTGCAGTAGCGCAATCTCAGCTCCCTGCAACTTCTACCTCCCTGGTTCAAGCAATTCCCCTGCCTTAGCCTCCTGAGTAGCTGGGATTACAGGCACATGCCACCACACCCAGCTAATTTTTTTGTCTTTTTAGTAGAGATGGGGTTTCATCATGTTAGCCCAACTGGTCTCAAACTCTTGACCTCAGGCAATCTGCCCGACTCAGCCTCCCAAAGTGCTGGAATTACAAGCATGAGCCACCATCCCAGCCAATTTATTAATGTTTTAATAAACACAGCTAAAGGCACAGATAGTACTGAGTTGGATGCTATAGAGAATATTAATGAGAATAAAACGAGAGCCAAAGGAGTGACACGAAGACAGATAAGTTACAAAGTTACTGCAGAATTCATTGATAATTCTTCTTCGTGGCTAAATTTCTGTATGTTGTTGACTGGATCACTTAGGAGTTGTACTAACTTTTAACATGAACTGCTACTCACCTGTACCTCCACTAGCTGATGTCTCTACATAGCTCTCAGGAACCTTTGGAAAGGCATCCAACTCTTTTACCAAACTTAAAGTTTTTTTCCGATTCAGTCGCCTCATCTTCAGGAAAACCTTCCTCTTCCTTCATATAGTCATGCTAAGGAACGAATAATGAATAAATGAATCCTTTAAAGAGATAAAAAGGTTTCTTTAAATTTAGGATAACTGACAAATGTCCTTGAAACAACTTAGCATTCTCATCCCTGCTTAGGAAAAAAAAAAAAATAGTATTTATCCACACATTTATCCTTTCCCCATTCATGCCCTGACAAAAACTACTAATGAAAGGTAATTTAAATACAAAAACACATTAAATAGCAAGAAAAAAGTGAAAGTAATTCAATCACATTAATAATGTCTAAATATACAAACTGAGATAATTTTTCTATTAAATTGAAAACTATATAAAAATAACACATTTCCAATAATGAATGACAGTTAAGTAAAATGGCCTGCTCATACATTACTAACAAGAACATAGGCTGGGCGGGAGGCTGAGGCAGGAGAATCACTTGAACCCAGGAGGCAGAGGTTGTAGTAGGCTGAGATAGCACCACTACACTCCAGCCTGGGTGACAGAGCAAGACTCCATCTCAAAAAATAATAATAAATACTACTCATAATAATAAGAATAGGAATATAAATATTTACCACTCCTCTTTTGACTAAGTAAATGCCCATTTAGGAATGTATCTTATTACAATAATCTGGGGTTTGAAACAAAATTTGATTATGAGAATATTTCTCATAGTGTTGTTATTTTTAAATACTGAAGACAGAAACAAACCCATGGTATCCAATGTACAAATTATGGTGAATAAATGCATCTTATCTTTATATAACCATTGAAAATCTTTTTT